CTCCAGCTTCTTCGACTCAGCGACCTTGCGCACAGCCTTGTTGAAATCGTCCTGGTTCACCGTATCCCGGTAGTCCTTGATGGCGAACAAGCCACTGAGAATTTACCTGTTAGCTTTTGTTCTGGTAGATCATGCAAATAAATAAGGGATAAAAAAGGGGGAAAGGCAAACTCACGCTTCCGTGACCACATTCCTCAAATCAGCCCCGTTCAACCCATCACTCATCTTCACGATACTCTCAAAGTCAATCTCCCCCTCAATCGCCACTCCACTAGCATGAATCTTCAAAATCTCCAACCGCCCCACCTCATTAGGCAGCGGGATTTCGATCTTGCGATCCAACCGCCCAGCCCGCAGCAGGGCCGGGTCCAACGTGTCGGGTCGGTTAGTCGCCATTATAATCTTGGTTTTCCCAAGATAGTCAAACCCGTCCAGTTGGTTGAGGAGCTCCATTAACGTGCGTTGGATCTCTCGATCGGCAGATGTGCCTTCCGAAAAACGCCGGCCGCCGATTGCGTCAATTTCATCCATGAAGATGATGCAAGGTTCGTGCTCCTTGGCGTATCCGAACATTTCGCGGATTAAGCGGGCAGATTCACCGATGTATTTGTCTACGATAGCGGATGAGACGACTGCAGGATATAAGTTAGCATATAATAATCATAAGAATGGGGACTTAAAAAGACAATCAAAACATACCCTTCAAAAAATTTGTCTCCAACGAACTCGCTACAGCTCTAGCGAGCAGCGTCTTCCCCGTCCCCGGCGGGCCATATAGCAGCACACCCTTGGGCGGTTTTATCCCCACACGCAAAAACAGCTCTGGGTTCTTCAACGGCAACTCGATGACCTCTCTCAGCTCACGGATCTGATCGTTCAGACCACCGATTCCCGCAAAGCTGATCTGTCCGGGGTCCTCGAGGGACATGTTGTAGACGAGCGGGTCGACTTCGCGGGGCAGCATGCGCATGATTGTTAAGGTGGTCATGTCGAGGGCGACGCGGGTGCCCTGTTTCAGCTTTGTTTTGTCGACTTTTGAGCGGCAGCCGACGACGTAGCGGGGGCCCGAGGAGGCTTTGACGATGACTGTTGGGCAAGAGAGTTAAACACTATGAACTTCTTACGTACACATATACATATCCATATATATAGATGATGTAATAAGAGGGAAAACCGAGCTTACATCTCTCCTCATCTAGTTGCTTGAGAACCTCTCCAATAATTTGACCGACGCTCTGCAGCGCCTTGATGTTTTCCTCCGTGGTGTCAAACTCCTTTTGCAGGTCCTTTATGCCTAACCGCAGATTCTTCAGCTTTGCTTCCCATTCTCTTGACTCTAGCAGACTCTTTTTGTAATCTTCAAGAGCTTGTTCACGTTCCGGATCCACCATGCCTTCCATGGTTGAATTGGCGTAGGGGACGATGGTTGGAAAGGTGACTAGGGAATGCGGCGTTATCAGGATGACGAAAGAGGACAGATGTAGATGCGAGGTATATACGCTTGGAATCGGAAATTAGACTGGGTAAAAGGGGGAATGTGAGGGTGGAAGGCGATCAATAATACAATATCTCTAGATATCCCTTTCTCTTCTACATTCCCCTTGGCTGCAAGGGCTGAACTTACTTAAAAATTACTTCTGCTATGGTTTGTTGTTCAGCTCCGATGCTCTACTGACACCCACAGATACCGCCTGTGTAGTTATTAGTCATGTTTGCAACAAACACAAACACCCTCTCTCTCTGCCCCTTCCAATCATCACATGACTCTAGATCTACGCCTCTCACGTGATTCTGCACCGTCCCAAGGTTCCCGTCGGATGGTTTTGATCTTCGATATACGCCTGATCACGTGCAGGGCGGGCCGCCCGGGGCAACGGCTAATCCGTGCACTGCCGGCGTTTTTTCGTACTGCCAAGAACAGAGGCGCATCTCCCGCGTCCTTCCGAATTCGGAGACGTTGGGGACCCAAAAGATGAACAGAATCCTGAAAGCAGAAGAGAGCAGAATTCTAGGGCCTTCTCTGAGGATTGCGGGTTTCGGTTTCGTTGTCTGCGGGTGTACTGTTGGTGGGGAGAAGCCCTGGAGGTGGGGATGACGGGGGGAAGTGGGTGGTGGATTGGGTACTAATGGAGGGGCATCCCAGGTTTTGTTTACAGGGTTGTAAATCGTTTCATACATTAATAACAAACAGGGAAAGAAGGCAGACGGTATAGTTCCAACAAAACACCAGCCCTCCCTATATTTTCTAACAACCCTCCCCCCCCCCTCCTTTCAATTCCTCTCAACTACACCTCACTCCTCCACTTTTCAATACACAAAAGTTCAACTCCAATTGACTTAGCATTGCAAGTAAGTGTTGCCTCTTTGCTAGTTCTAGCAGTGTGTTCCTTGAAATACCCCGCCACCGGCTCCCAATGTCGTTGATGTATTCCCGCTACAACCAATATTGATGGCAGACGAGCTGCCATTTGATGGCTTCGAGAAGCCAATCGTCATCTCTATGACTGTGCTGGATAACAGTTGTCTCTGAGATCCATTGGAGACTCGAAATTTTTAGTCCTGCTATCCTGTTCTTTCGATCCCGTGCCGCTTTGTCCGTTTTGAGCTTTCCGGTGAGCGGATGGAAAGCGGCTACGGACTATTCCCCACCAACTCTGATATTCTCAATTCATTCAATCCTCACCTCTATCCTATTGTAATACAATTCAAATTCATACTAACTAACCTACCTGCTCAATTCTTGGATAGAAATGGCTATCACCAAAATCCACGCCCGCTCCGTTTATGATTCTCGCGGCAACCCTACCGTTGAGGTTGATGTCGTAACCGAGACTGGGCTTCATCGTGCCATTGTCCCATCCGGTGCTTCTACCGGTATATATAACTCTCCCGTACCATGGTGTCTAAAAGGCCTTTGAGCACTGGGAAATCACTGACGGAATATTTGACAGGTCAGCATGAGGCATGTGAACTCCGTGACGGCGACCAGTCAAAGTGGCTTGGAAAAGGTGCGCAGTTTAAAAACCACCAAAACCACAATTTCCCACACGAATTTGCCTAGCTAGTTATTGACATGTTTGTTGAATAGGTGTGTTGAACGCAGTCAAGAACGTCAACAGCGTCATTGGCCCCGCCATCATTAAGGAAAACATCGACGTCAAGGACCAGTCCAAGGTTGATGAGTTTCTGAACAAGCTTGACGGAACCCCCAACAAATCCAAGTTGGGTGCCAACGCCATCCTCGGTGTCAGTCTGGCCATTGCCAAGGCCGGTGCTGCCGAAAAAGGTGTCCCCCTCTACGCTCACGTTTCCGACCTCGCTGGCACCAAGAAGCCATATGTCCTCCCCGTTCCATTTCAGAATGTGCTCAATGGCGGTTCCCATGCAGGTGGCCGTCTGGCCTTCCAGGAATTCATGATTGTCCCAACGTATGGACCCTTATTAGGAATAGCATTAGTAAGAACTATCCAGGCTAATTCTCCCAACAGCGCTGCCCCGTCCTTCTCCGAGGCCCTCCGCCAAGGCTCAGAAGTCTATCACAAACTGAAGGCCCTCGCCAAGAAGAAGTACGCCAATCTGCCGGCAATGTCGGTGATGAGGGTGGTGTTGCGCCCGACATCCAAACTCCCGAAGAAGCCCTGGACCTGATCACCGAAGCCATCGAGCAGGCTGGGTACACGGGCCAGGTCAAGATTGCTCTTGACATTGCCTCGAGCGAATTCTACAAGGCCGATGAGAAGAAATATGATCTCGACTTCAAGAATCCAGATAGCGATAAGAGCAAGTGGCTCACATATGAGCAGTTGGCAGATCTGTATAAAAAGCTTGCCAGCAAGTATGCTATTGTCAGCATTGAAGATCCATTCGCTGAAGATGACTGGGAGGCTTGGAGCTATTACTTCAAAACCTGTGATTTGCAGGTTGTCGCGTATGTCTTTTCAATCCTTTCAATGCATAAATAAGTTGTTTGCAAAAACGGAAGAAAGAAAAAAAAAAAACACTAACACGCTCCCCATCCCAGCGACGATCTCACCGTCACAAACCCCATCCGCATCAAGAAAGCCATCGAGCTTAAATCCTGCAACGCCCTGCTCCTCAAAGTCAACCAAATAGGCACCCTCACTGAATCCATCCAGGCAGCCAAGGACTCCTACGCTGCCGGTTGGGGCGTGATGGTCTCCCACCGCTCCGGCGAGACGGAGGATGTCACCATCGCCGATATCGTTGTGGGATTGAGAGCTGGACAGATTAAGACGGGTGCACCTGCGCGCTCGGAACGGTTGGCCAAGCTCAATCAGATTTTGAGAATTGAGGAGGAGTTGGGGAGCAATGCGGTTTATGCGGGGGACAAGTTCCGGGCAGCTATTAATATGTAAGGGCGTGGAGATGAGATGAGGGGTGGAGGAAGTAACTATATGATGGGCGAAGCAAAAACAAGGCGATCGTTAATTGTTAAATAAAACGGAGAAAAATAGGATGGGATGGGAATGGCACAGGGCGCCAGTCGCGGGTCTGTGCTATTTCTTTTGCCCGGCGGGTGGCAACGATTTTAAAATAAAGAAATAATTAAATAAATACGGGGGGAATACACAATGAAATAATGAAAACGGGGAATATGTGAAGTTGAAACGCAATAGTATGGACATGGGATATCAAGGTGCATCCATTTCCAGTCACCTCCAACATCAGTGGGGAAACCAATCCGATGCCCAAATCTTGGCGGCGGCTAACCATAACTATAATAGCCGTCATATTTAACTTGGTTATTGGACTATTTCCCCCCAAGAAATGTTCGTAGGTGCTGAAATAAATTTTGCACTCTGCTATCATGAACTTTGGGATAGCTCCTGTGATATGTCATCTTTGCCAAACATTCCCCTCCTTCACCTTCTCGCAATGATATGATCAGCTCGCTCCACTTGATGTCGGAAGTTGAACTGGATTCAACTCATCAACTCTCTGTCCCTGCAGACAACAGACCCTGCCTGGGGCATCTCGCTTCCGATGATTGAAGATACAGATAAATAAGCCAACATTTAAGAGACTAGCTGCACTTTTGCTTTCAACGAGGCAACGCGTTGATAAGATACTCGAGAGTTCTCCTCTCGCAGTTCTCTTTTCTCCTGTTTCAACTCACGTGGATTATTTTACAAAGGAGCTGGTGCAGCTTTAAAGTTTTTATTTTACATATATATATATATATTCTTATTAACATTTCCTCCCGTGTCCACCCGTGTCCAACTGAATGCCCCACGGCTCGTCTACCCCTTTGTGGAGACACTGGCCATTAGTTCTCAGATTTTCTCCAAGATATAAAAATATATCAGCTCATGGTCTGGAAACATATGCTATAAACTTTTATGATGCCTCGCGGGCATTGGAGAACCATCCGAAGGATTGCACAACACCACAAATCCAACAGTCAATAATTGTTTCATCACAGACGTCGCCCTCAGTCCCATCCAAACAAATGACATGTTGCCGCGCTCTTATTAGACTTGCAGTATAACCCATCGCCTAATCAAGAACAAGTGTAGACGAATTTTTTTTTTTTTTTTTTTCCCTCTCTCTGAGAACTATGTCTCAACAATGTAAAAAGCCTCTATTTGAATTCACACACGGACCGTGAAGTACGCAATAAACAGCCCGTCTCCCATTCCACAACAAATTGAAATGAGAGTATATTTCCCGCAGATTCCCAGCAGGAGATCCACTCAAAGAGTTCGGGGTGGGAAGAGGTAAAGAGACGATACCGATGTTGATTCTTTTACCCCCACTCCGTCGGACTATCGACAATTTCCTACCCTCTCCGGATACCTAGGTATGGCATGCAAAGGCACCCTTCTGGCCCTAGGATAGGCATGAATATGTACAGAACTACATAAAATGTAAAAAAAGAAAAAGAAAAAAATATGTTGACGCGAGACTGGTCACCCGGGTAATTGCATAGCTATGCCAGTTGGCGCTCGTACTCATGGCTCAGAGCTGCTGAAAGGATGCATGAGGTAATCGATTGACTGGGCTGGTTGTGGGGGATTTGCACAAGCTGACAGCGGCCAAAGTTATTTCTCCGGTGAAGGCCAGGGAAGGCCAAGGGAGTTTGATAGAGGGAGCCAAGCGCCAGTATCACCGCACCGTTGTCAACGTGTCTCTTTTCTTACCCTCTTCTGTTTACCTTTTTTGATCAACTGAAGGAGGAGACAGGTGTGAGATCGACGAACTGGTTAAGCCAGAAGCCGAGACATGAGTGTGTTGTTGTTGTTGTTGTTGTTGTTGTTGTTGTTGTTGTTGTTGCTGAGACTTAAGAGAAGCAATAAACGACAGTGAGCACCACACTGCTGCAATCAATCCAAATAAGCTTATTTGAGAGTTTCATCCGAGAGAACTGAATTCCTCAGGGCACAGCACAGGCACAGGAACAGGCACAGTACACCAAACTACCAAAGGACCGGTCGGTCCAGCGACATCCGCAATTATATATACACTTTGGTCAACCGTATGTTAAACCTCCCCAACCAAACAGCCCAACCCGCCCTATTCCCAAACAGGATTAGCTTCCCGCCTCGGCCCCCGGCACGTGCTTCCCCTTTTTCTGCCTGGTTGCGCCCAATCGTAACAGGGAGGACCCGCTGCATCGGGGCTTGTTTGGGCACCCAGACACCAGAAGAAGAAAAAATTGGACATCAGATGCTGCAAAACACCACACAATCATGATTTGTATCGTTCACATCCAAAATTAACCACCCATGCCTATATTTATTTTCCCCACCAACCCTCCCTTGTTACGTGTACTTTCAGATCCGCAAATTGCTGACTCGCCATCGGTTTAACCGGCCACACAAAGTTCTCTTCGCCCACGCTCGATTTTCAGTAGGCCATGGCGCCGTCAAAGTGGGGTAAGTCGGCATCAATCGTTGAACCCCTCCACCTGCAGGTGCAGCCATACCTACCTGGCAGCATAGCATGCTCTACGCCTGAGTTTTAATTACTTTATGTTCCTCAAAATTGCGGTCAGGCATGGCATACTCATGGTAGCTAGCTAGGTTATTGTGAATATATCAAGATATATATGTCTAACTTTTTCTGCCTTGGTTGATTTTTTTTTTTTTTTTTTTCCCACTTAAACAGATGATGAAGAGGAGAGCACCCCGCCCTCTTCCCCACCTTTATCTGCTGCTATACCTATAGCCCAGAGACGAAAATTCGATGACGAAGAGGATAGCGACAATGTAAGCATCAGCTCTATTCATCACCCCAAGAATATCTAGTTTTGATGGCGCATAAGAGCTCTTGTATCTATGATGAAAACGCTAATCACCGCATTTCCAAACCGCAGGTCGTAGATGATTGGGAAGCTGCCGAAGATTCCGAAGTTGAGCGTGAAAAAGCCGCCAAAGCAGCTGCCGAAAAAGCCAAAGCAGAGGCCGAAGCCGCCGCCAAGAAAAAATCCCGGGCCCAGCGCATACAGCAACGTCGAGAGCAACGACGGCTGGAAGAGGACGAAGAGGACGATGACAGCGATGATGACGACCCCGCTGCCCAACGCGCCCGTCTCCGCCGTACAGAGAAGGACGCAGATCTCAAACACGCCGAAGACCTAATCGCCGACATCGACCTGAACCGCTCCCTCAACCGCTCCGCCACAAAAGCAACAGTAATCCACCTCTCCGAAACTGGCGATAATAGCGATCCCACCCAACGAGCCATAGACCTCTCCTCCATCCCGCTCTTCAGACCCGCTACAAAGGCGCAGTTCACGGAATTAACAGAAGCGCTTATACCGCTGCTGACAGCGCAGTCGAAGAAGCCTCAGTATGCGCTGTGGGTGCAGGATTTCACGAAAAAGTTGGTGAAGGAGTTGGGGAGTGGGGATATTAAGAAGGTTGCGTCTGTGTTGACGGCGGCGAGCAATGAGAAGTTGAAGGAGGAGAAGGCGGCGGAGAAGGGAGGGAAGAAGAGCAAGGCGGCTAAGACGAAGACGAGCGTTGTTGTTGGGAGGGATATGGGGGTTGGTGGGAAGGCGGATATTACGGCGTATGACGGGGATGACTTGGATGACGATGATTTTATGTGATGCCCCCCAAGTGGTGGGTGGGGTGGTTTGGTGAGCCAACTAGTTGGTGAGGGAGATAGTGTTTTGTCATTTGAGATTCTTCCTGCTTTTTGTTTTTCTATGCCTTTCACTTCACCTTTTATTTTACCCCTGGAAGTATTAGAGATCTAACCAGCCACCGTTTCTGTGCTTCTTTTTACAAGCCTCAGAGCATCTACTTGTCTTCTCCTATTTAAATAAATTTCTTTCCTTCTGTTCGGGTATTTCCTCTATTTATTTCACGCCCCCCCTCTTTTTCCTCTCTCATTATATCTTACCATTTTGTTTGAGTATTTGTTTAATGTCTGCATTTCAGCCCTATTCCCCCTCTCTCCATCTGTTGTGTCCGTATAAATTGCTCTTCATCAACATGGCATAGCATGCATACGCATTTTGCTTTAGCCCCATTAATTAGCTTTCTTCATTAATTTGTCAGTTGATACTTTTTGTTTGAATGCAAATAATAAAATAAGACAGTAGAGATTATTGAATTGTTTTTCTGCGAGTTCTCATTTAAATATATATTAGAAAACAAGCACGCTGCTCATTGTAAACACCCCCACAAGCAAACCATCCCATACGTTGCCGAATTTCTATTTCCCACTCCATTCCGCCCCGCTCCGCTCACGCAGGAGACATTTGACTAACTTCGATCGGGCTGGAAATAAGTTTTAATGCCAGCTTACTCTTTTGCCTCGACTTCATATTTCTACCTTCGATCCAATATTGCTTCCCTGCACAATGTGATGTTTCGATATTTCGAATACTGGATGGAGGCACTCCACTCCGTAGGGGACGAAGAAGCGGAGAGAAAGATTTCCGGTAAAGGGATAGGAGACAAATGCGATCCTCTGGGCACGTCCCATCATGGACCTTGCACGGATAGCATTTGTCTACTTTCTTAGATTCTTCCCTCCTTGTTCACATCCAGCTATGGTTGCTGGGCAAGAGGATGGAGAGATTGGTATCCCATGTTTAGGAAGGTTTTCACATATAGGCCATCCACGACTTGTCACCCCCTACATATGTACCATATTATGTACCTGGCACTGTCCGCCTGTCTGGAGAAGTGTGTGTTCTACCTTTTGTTGATTGAGATCCGCAAATGAAGTTTTTGATTTTCCCGTTGTATAGTTATCCAATTCTTCTTAAAACTGGTAATGTAATAATTAACCAGATACAGGGGCCTCTTTCACAAGGGCTAAGAATCCGTCTTTCCATAACCGTATCGACAAAGAATGGAACGGTAAATGCCACAACCATTAGCGATATAAGTCACTCCAGGCCTTATGCACGTTAATATCCAATCCTCCGAAAATATATCGCGCATCTACATTGACGACGGCTATTGACCAGAAACCACAACCACACAACGATCAAACGATCGAAAGGAATGTCTCAAACCTTCTTTGTCTAAATTGCATATCACGTGATTCACTACCAGGTGATTATGCATGGCGTTGCTTGCCCGCATGGGGATGCCAACGACGGTCGCATAATAACGGACTCTTTTTATGCTTGATTTTTTTTTGCGAGTTGACAAGTTATCCAGCCCCTGAACGGACTTCTCATTTTTACCCCATTGTTTGATTCCCGTTGATCCTGGTGTTTAGGTAGATAGGATATATTTTCTCTTTCGTTGGGAGTCGGTTATTTTGGTCAATCAAGGCGCCAGAGATACGTCATTTTGTTTAGTGTAACTCGGCATTGAAATAATGACGGGTTAGGGATTTTTTTGACATTGGGGAACTGGTTTATTATTGGTAAACTTGTGCGTACGGCAACCTGTATATAGGATCGAAAGTGTTAGTGTGGTGTAGTGAACGCGAACAGAGCGTTGGGGCTGGTTTGGTAGGGGCAAATGAGGAGTAGTTATATAGAACAGAAACGTATGCAGTAATTGGGGTAATACTTGTGTAAGTAAGGTGACGGATGCAGAACATATGAACCGTCTGATCATACAAAGACGGATATGGGGAAGTGAAATACGTATTATTCCACATCTCATACATCTCATCTCCTCAATATACATTTTGTTGTTTGATGATCTGGATCCCTGCTAACTAGTTAAGGCAACGCCTTAAGGGGGGGATCCGCTTAGTCAGCCATCACAAGTCACACTTGTCCGCTCTTTCTCCCAACTTCTGCCATCATCCAACATCCTCCAACTTCATCCTCTTCCTTACACCCGTCACACTTCACTCTTCCCCCCCTTCCACCAGGCTTTTTGTTCCTCTTCGTCTTTCTCTCTTGCATCACTCCGCTTCCGCTTCTTCCACTCCCACGCTGTTTAGATCCCACCATCCCACACCGTCTCCCGTTATCCCCCTACTGCCACCATGACTTCAGAAGTATGTTTATCCCTCCGTGCCCTCGCTCTGCCTCTAGGCGCGCAACGACCTGGCGTCAAACAATATTGTCCTTCCCCCCTATGCACTTTTCTGATGTGATGTCTGTCGTGCTAACTACAATCTCTCATATAGCGTGAAAGGTAAAATTTGTCCATGTGCAGTGAGTGTTGTGGGCGTGTGTACTGACCGCTTTCCGAACTGCAGCAAGACGTTTCTCGCCAGGCTCTGCGAGCAGGCTGAACGCTACGATGGTGAGACCTTCTTTCTCTCTCTATCTACCCTAAAGCTACCCCCTCTCCTTTGTTTCTTTGCACTATCTAACTGCGTCATATAGAAATGGTTACATACATGAAGGTGTGTACTGCTGCTTGTGTGTGAGGGTTAACATCCCCATCAACCCGGTTGCTAACACGACCTTTCGATGACGCCTTGTAGGAAGTTGCCAATGTAAGTCCCATCAGATATTCTACCACTAACTCCCTTTACCCCTCCTCTCCAATATCTAACCGAACATGAACCATGACAGTTGGGAGGCGAACTCACCGTCGACGAACGCAATCTTCTCTCTGTTGCTTACAAAAACGTCGTTGGTACCCGTCGTGCTTCTTGGCGCATTATCTCCTCCATCGAGCAGAAGGAGGACTCCAAAGGCTCTGAGAAGCATGTTGCTATCATCAGCGAGTACCGCCAGAAGATCGAAACTGAGCTCGAGCGCGTCTGCCAGGATGTTCTTGATGTTTTGGACCAGTCTTTGATTCCCAAGGCGGAGTCTGGTGAATCCAAGGTTTTCTACCACAAAATGTATGTGTTGGGATTCTATGGAGTTACTAGTTTCTTTCGTTCGCTACACGAGACATTTCTTAGAAGAACTGTACTGATATACACCACAGGAAGGGGGACTATCACCGTTATCTCGCTGAGTTTGCTTCAGGTAACAAGCGCAAGGTTGCCGCCACTGCCGCCCACGAGGCTTACAAGGTTAACCCTCCCCCTCCTTTCCCAACACACACACACACACACACACACACACACACACACAAAATTATTTATGAAAGTCATGTTGAACAACGCTAACATTTCCTCCCAGAACGCCACCGACGTCGCCCAAACTGAACTGACACCAACCCACCCAATCCGTCTCGGACTCGCCCTCAACTTCTCAGTCTTCTATTACGAGATCCTCAACTCTCCTGATCGCGCTTGCCACCTGGCTAAGCAGGCGTTCGATGATGCTATTGCTGAACTCGACTCACTCTCTGAAGAGTCTTACCGCGATAGCACGTTGATCATGCAGCTGCTGCGAGACAACTTGACGTTGTGGACGTCGTCGGATGGCGCAGAACCTGAGCCAGTTGCTGCTGGTGATGGAAAAGATGATAAGACGGCTGAGGGTGAGGAAGGACCGGCGACTGCGACTACTACTGATGCCCCTGCTCCTGAAGAAGTGGCTGCACCAGCTGCTGCAGATGAGGAGCCAAAAAAGGAGGGCACAACGGAGTCTTAAAGTATGGGTTTAAAAAGAATTTATTTTAAAATGTTTTCTATTCCCTGCTTATGATTCCTGCTTGCTCCTAAGGTTGTGTGTGTGTGCGA